CATGGTTACTGAAACGTTACAATGAAGAACTTGCCCCTGTTATTCATAACATCATATGCTCCAGCATCTCCCAGGCTAAATACCCAACCCTATATAAACACGCATTGGTCACCCCAGTGCCTAAAATATACCATCCTAATGACATGGACAATGACTTCCGCCAAATCTCAGTATTACCGCAATTGGCTAAAGTCTTAGAAAGCATCCAACTTAAATTAAACAGAGGGGACCTTAAGATCAAAGATAATCAACATGCACTTACACACGGTAGATCAACTGTATCTGCACTGGCGAGCATCACACAAAATTGGTTCAACAAGACTGAAAACTCACGTGATGGAAGAATGGGTGTCCACGCCCTATTTATCGACTTTTGCAAAGCATTTGATCTGGTGGACCACGGATTCCTTTTAAGGAAGCTCGCCAAAATGAACGTGTCGAAAAGCTTCTGGCTATGGACAAGGAGCTTTCTAGAAGGGAGGAGTCAGCAAGTAAAATTACGAGGTGCTCTGTCATCTATAAGGCCTTGCCTTACCGGAGTCCCCCAGGGATCTGTTATATCACCAACATTGTTTAATGTTCATGTGGATGACCTCGAAGACTGCATTCCCAGTTATCTGGACATCAACACGCACAAATACGCAGATGACTGCACTCAAGATGAAGTGATTCCATATGGTTCTACTAGCAACATGCAAGAGGTGCTTGATACAATAAACGACTGGGCACTCAGAAACAAGATGAAACTTAACGCGAAAAAGACGAAAGACATGTGGGTCTGCTTTAAAGCTGCAATTCCGGAACCACCATCACTTAAGATTGGCGATAATACGATTGAAAGAGTAAACACGTTCAAGCTGTTAGGTCTTTGGATTAATGATACCCTTAAATGGAACACCCATATTGAAGAAATTACAAAGAAAGCAAACAAACGCTTATTCTACCTACGGGAATGTCGTCGAGCAAATCTACCAACCAAAGTGGGTTTAACGTGCTATAAAACCAAATTAAGACCGGTTCTAGAATATGCGGCCCCAATATGGGGTGGTCTGCCACAATACCTTACAGACGAACTGGAGAGTATCCAGGCTAGAAGCCTGAAAATTATTGGGCTACCTTCTGATTCTCTTCAGTCTCTAGAGCAACGTCGGGATAATCTTGCCATTCGTGAATACAAGAAAATCATTAATGATGAAACGCATCCATGCATGCAGGAAATATACCTGACATAGTGACGAACACGTATGACTTAAGAACACCAAAAACACTTCCCAAATTTCTCTCATACACTAAAAGGCATGAAATATCGTTTATTCCGAGAACAAACTCGCTATTATAGACAATATTTTTATAACTACTCCTAAAATTTTTATCTGTACATATAACTCCTAGAGTACTACTTAGATTTTACTAACTGTAAATCCATTGTATTTTTACACTGAAGATGGATCAATAAAACTATTATTATTATGTACATATTAATATATATATATATATATATATTAATTGCCTGAAGATCGTCTTGAATAAGGCGTGAAACTTGAATAGCAATAATTAATTTTAAGATATAAATATATATATATATATATATATATATATATATATATATATATATATATATATATATATATATATATATATATATATATATATATTATGTACTGCATAAACGAGTATAGGAGTGTTTTATCGGAGTGTGATAAAACATGAACTACGAGTTTATTAAACAGCTTCAAAAACGTCTCAGTTAGATCACGGCATTGGCGAAATAATTTTCCAAAATAACTTTGTATTAGCTGAGAAAATACAAGTTTAAATTTGAAGCGTGTTTTATCACATATAAAGACACGTCACGCTTATGATTTCTCTTTGTGTTTTCCTCATGAATTATTAATGAGTTTTTGAAATATATTTAAAATACTCATTAATAATTCATAAACCTTGTGGCAAATCATGTCAGCCATAATATGTCACGTGGAGTGACTTTAAGATAAAGCATGAGGCATTATATAATTGTTCATCCTAATTAGTATATGATTACATAATGGTTCATCCTAATTAGTATTCTTTTGTAGTCGTATTTTAAGCTATTCAAAACACTCGTTGTCGTGTTTTATCAGACATAAAACGCTCGACTGCGCCTCGCGTATATATATATATATATATATATATATATATATATATATATATATATATATATATATATATATATATATATATATATATATATATATATATACCGGGTGGCGCAAAAAAAAATTAACTTGTTTCATTTATTTTAACTTAAAAACTAAAAGAGCTATTACACCTAAACTACGTGCATTGCATTCAGTATTGTCTAACTTAAATTTTGATATACGCCCTGTGCAATTTCGTACAATATTCACCGAGAGAGCTACGTTTAAACTTGAATAAACATTTTGGGAAGTGTCGAGAATTAGCTAAAAACGGCCTGTTAAACTAATTTGATAACCATTACCATTTTATCGTAAATATTCGTTTCAATGAAGTGAAGTTTAAATTAAAAATGTTTATAGGATGGAGGTGCTCTTTTATTTTTGTTTAAGGTCTTTGGGAATGCATGAAAATTAATTTATGCCGAAGCGATTTTGATTAAAAGATTTATTCTAAATATCCTTGGGAATCAAATTCTAATGTTCCAAGAAAGAAACGTCAAGTGGTTTTTTTTTATAAATACGCCTCGTTTAACGAATGACCAAAAGAGTTTTGATATGTTTAGAATATGTAAGGGTAAATAATGCTCGTGAGGTTACACCGGCGGCGTTGGGCAGGTCTCTGACAACGAACGTGTACTTTCTGACTATAGTGCGTCTATAAGCACAGGTTATTGCTGTATTAAATATTTGATAGGCCGTTTTTGGCTAATTCTCGACACTTTCAAAAATGTTTACTCAAGTTAAAACGCAGCTCTCTCGGTCAATATTGCACGTAAATGCACAGGGCGTATATCAAAATTTAAGTTAGACAATACTGAATACAATGCACGTAGTTTACACGTAATAGCTCTTTTAGCTTTTAAGTTAAAGCAAATCGAACAGGTTAACTTTTTTTGCGCCCCCCGTATATATATATATATATATTCTTAATGAGATTTACATATTTTTGCTTTGTGGAATAGAATCTGTTATTTTTTAATGGACAGCTTGTAGCCTATCGTACGTCTCTATCATATCCAGGATTGCTTCTGTGTAAATGCATGTATCACTATGACACTATCAAATAAATATACAAATAGATGATTGATTCACAATGAAAACTTTAAAAATGTTAGTTGAAGTAGAAAACTGGAAAATTTATGTCTATTCGTATGACGTCACAGTCTGTGCGCATCTGACACTGTAAAGCCCGTTCTCCACTAGGCGAATTTATTCGCGCGAACAGATAAAAAGTAGGAAGCGATCCTACTTTTTGGCCGCGAATTTTTTCGCCGACCAATCACGTTGCCGGATTTCGGTTTTCGCTTCGCGTCGCGCGAACAAATTCGCGTAGTGGAGAACGGGCTTAAATTGTGATATAGATTATACTTATAGTATATACATTATTAGGAAAATATTATGATTAATAGAAACCAAGAAAATGGCTAAAGCCTTAGTATAATTACCGAATACGAATTATGTACTAAATCCAAAATTTTAAAGATAAATCACTGACAGACATTTCTCTGTTTGGCTATATAGTATCAAATGTTTACATTTGCTAATATTGGGCTCTGCCGCTCTAATTCTATATAGTAGACACTACAATACTGTTTCTTTTAAAAATCTTATAAACAAGACGCGTAGTAAAAAGTAAATTGGTGCAAAACATATCAACGTTTACAAGAAAGGACAAATCTAATGGCGTATTTTAAAACATTACTGTAAACGTTTGCCTTATAAAACCGCGCTCGAGTGTGAAGAGAGCTTTGAATAAGAACATGGGAGAGTATAAACTTCATAAACTTCGTAAACTTTAATAAGTGCCACTCCCTAAAAAGGGCTTTTCAGTGATACAATTTAGAAAACATATTACAATATGATTTATAAGAAAGTTATATACTCATCTAGAATTACTCATATGCACTGAGTAGTTCAAACTACACTCGTGGAAATTGGGAAAACTCGAAATTGTGTGAAAACACTTCGCCCTATTTCGAATTAATGAATTAATGTTTCGAATTCAATTATTTAATGAATGCATATTTCGAATTAATGTACCCCCCTGTAAATCCTAACTCTTTGTAAGTTCAATATAAAATGGGTTTTGATTTCCATTGTTAAAATATGGTCCAAAACTTGTACAACTCGCCGAAGTATCTCCCGATTTTCGAAGAACGGCATCTGTTCTACATGCTGGCGAATTGTTTTTGAGAATAAAGCGAGTTGAGTGTGAGAATTTTCGATTCGAAGTGCCGTGCAGACGAATCGACGATTGTAAATCGTTTGCCTTTATCATGTAGTATGTATACTAGTACCATCGAGTGCAAAGTCTCGGAAAATATTAGTCCAACAAAAGAGGAATAAAGGAAGAACACACACTATCAAATAGGCAGGTCAATTTCATTTTAAAATTTATATTTTATGACATATTTTTACTATAATATACATTACTATAGGTCTATACTGACCGTTGTGAGATTGGGCCGGCTGTGGTTGATGTAATTTGATACTTTATACTCTGTACTTCACCCAGAGTGATTCATCTTTCTTCAAGCGATTCTGTAACAAGCGTAGTCTTCTCTCGGCCATCGATCTGTTGTTTTGAAGACAAGGTGACTGATACCGCCAAGGTAACGCGATTTGATAATGACCATCAACTTTACAAACGGTGTTTTCCATTATGGCCAGTGCTCCACGATCTTCGACTGACATCGCCATATCTGTTGAGCACGACGTCTCAATGAACTCGGCAGTGTACAACCGCTGTAGCTGGGAAGTTATCGTTTCTTGATTCGTATGTATAAAGTTGACATTAACTTCCTGTCGACAAACACTTCCAACTGGGCCCAATAATGTCCATCCAAGTAATGTTCGTGCAGCTAATGGCTCTCTTGGTCTACCACGTCTTTCTTCAAAAATCCAGTGAGCTTCGGGCACGTCGCTTCCAATCAAAATAGTAACTTTAGCGTTTTCCAACTTTGGAAATTCTATGTCGCTCAAATGTGACCAACGGTTGATCTTTTCAACTGTTGGAATGCACTGTTCAGATATTGGTAGGCTGTCGACAGTCCAGACACGATCTAACTGAATGCTACCGTCACCATTTAAGCTCTGAATGTTTAACTTCACTTCTTGACCATTCCCTGACTTATCTTGTCCATTAACTGTGGTTAAAGTGAATTCACAAGGTTTACTTGATAGATTAAGTTCATGTACTAAATCCTTCGAACACAATGTCGTGTCGGAACCGTTGTCAATAAATGCGTAAGTTTCTATTTCACGAGTTCCATCCTCGTTCTTGACTTTCACGGGAACAATCCTGAGGCTCACCTTCTGACGTCTGTTTGCTGTAGCAGAACAGTTCCCAGAACTACCGGCCTTGTTGCCATGAGGGGATTCTTCACTTCTTCCTGGATCGTTAAGACCTTCACTGAATTCATTTTCTGATTTCGATGGGGGGGGGGGGGTGCAAAAGGGAGTGATGTTTCCTTCCACAACCACTTATCATACAGGAGGGATTAAATCTACATCTTTTCGCCAGATGATTCCTTCGAAAACAATTATCACAAAGCTTCTCTTTACGAACAAAATCCATTCTTTCTTTATGCGTTTTTTCCCGAAACTTGTAACACCTTTCCAAATCGCGATTAGTTTGATTGCAGTATATACATCTGACTTGCTTTCTTGCAGGATGAGAATTGTTATCTTTATAACCGGTCGTTTCAACATTGCCTGGTGGTCGTGTCTCACTGGTTTGGCTTTCTGTATATCTAGTAACTCCTAATGTTCCTTTGTTTGATATTCGTGGTTTGAATTTATTCTTGTTATCATCATCTGGTTTTGCCCCAACCAATTTTCCGAATATTGTGTTTGCAGTGGAAGCATTTTTCTCCACAAATTCTGTCAAATGTTGAAATTCAGGTTCGATGTCACATCCAATTAGAGTACCAGAACGTTCTGCCCATTTTGCTTGTAAATACGAAGGTAGTTTCTTTACAATCTTCGAAAGGGTATCCATTGCGTTTATGTCCGCTTTATAGTTCAGTTGCGTGGAGTTCAACAAACAATTACGCATATCCCGAGCCAATTGCATTAACTTGTCTGGTTCACCAGGCTTAATCTGTGGACCTTTTGTGACTCTTTCAATAAATGCGCGAACGATTATATGTTTTTGTCCAAAGTTCTTCCTTAAGATCTCTTTGGCCTTTGCATAACCTTCATCTGCTGGTAAAATTACACAATTTTCCACATTTAGCTCGAAATTTCTCATGAATCTTGTATAATTTACTGGATTACCATCGAAATATAGAAACTCTCTCTTCGGCAATTCCATTCCTGTCGTGAATCTTTCTACTGTCGCTTGTTGTCTTTCCATCAACAGGGTCTGACGTTCTAAGATCCGGTGCAATTCAGACTTCTCAGTATGGACATTGTCACCAAGGTTCTGTGTTGTCTGTTCTTTAGTTACTTTACGGTTAACTTCTTTGTCCACATCAACAGTTTTTAGGTCTTGGTTAACCAAATTTTCATCCAACTTCTGTGGTTCTGATTTGTGATTACAACAGTCGACAGGAAATTCTGAACTGAAAAATTTCTCCATCTTCTGATGAAGAGTCTGACTTTCAATATTCAGAGAT